AGCTTATACAAATTGTTCCTTTTAATATATTTCTTTGTGTATTTATCATAAAAAATCTCAAAATAGTCATGCAAAAAGTAAGTACACCCTATTTATTTATTTTTAACTTTTTCAACAGATTTCCATATACATTTTCACTTCAACAATATTGATAAAGGGGATATCCTACAACAAATATCAAACCTCATTTACATTTTGTAGTTCAATGCATAAGTTAAATCAATATAAATTCAAATTTTACATGTAGAGAAAGTAAGAGCTCCCTTACATTTAGTACTGCCTCAAATATTTAAAGTTAAAAATGGCAAATGATTAGAAAATAATTGGAGAGGACTGGGAGGAGGCTCTCCTATTTAAACCCCAGAGATTCTGTTTGAGTTGCTCTTCATTACTGAAGTATATGGTGTCATCACATTTATAACATAAAGAAGGTTATAGATGCTTATGTGTCTGGAAAGGGATTTTAAAAGATCACCAAACAATTTTACTGTCCAGAAGATCTGTAGGTGGAACAGCTTTTAAATAACTGCTATATAATTTAGTATATAAACTATTATATTTAGAATTATACTTAATTTATTAAAAGGATTAAATAAGATTAGAAAATTAAGAGGGTTACAGACTATCAGATTATAAACAATAATGATATTTAGTTTTACACTGTTGTACAAATACATACATATATATATAAAAGGTGTGCATAAAATTAAGGAGAGACATTATTAAGTATATAAGACCTTGTAGTGATAAACTGAAGGGATTAGAATAAGATAAATAACTGTCAACTAAGCCAGACCAGGCTGTTTCCACAAGTTCAGCCAGAAACAGAATTCAAGATGCTGAAAGAAGTTTCGAAGAACCCCAGAATTTCATTGTATGACATAGAGCAGGGGTCCCCAACCACAAGTCCCTGGGCCAGTCATTTTTTACTGGGCCGCAAAGCTTGGGCGCTGTGAGGGGGAGAGAGGGAGAAAAGAGCGCTACGGTATGCCCAGCACTAGTCTCCCTTTTCCTCTCCTTCTCCTTCTCCCCTGTCAACCATGCACATGGATGCACGCAGATAAAGCTGTTGCTGCTGCTGCTGCACCATGACCCGGAGGAACAGATTGAGCACAGGCGCTGAAGGAGCGCCACGGTGTCCGTTACCAGAGCGCAAGGAAGCAGCAGCAGCTGCTGCGGCGGCGGCTGCTGAACCTCCAATTTCCCGGGGAAGGTCATTCCCTGACCAGTCGCGCTTCCCGGCCCACGCTTGCACCCCTTGCCCCCCCCATCGCCCACTTCCTTGCAGGCGGAGGCGAGAAGCTACAAGGAATTCGGGCGTGCTTTCTAGCTGGCTGTGCCAAGTCTTTTTTTTTTTTTTTTTTGCCCGAGGCTGGAAAGAAGAAGGGCAATGGGTCACTGAGGAAGGTGAGAGAGACTGAGAAGGGAGAGAGAAGCCCAGCTAAAGCAGCTCCGCACTGCTTTAGGGACTAGTAGTAGAAGGCGGCAGTTGGCGGCACTTGCCACCAGGCAATGCTTCCGGGTTTTCGGTTGGAAAGCGGCGTTTGGGTGCTCGCGCCTTAGTTTCATTGAAGAGGGGGGCGGCTTCGAACGAAGAGCTGTCTCGATGGCAGTGGAGTCTCGCGTTACTCAGGTACCGGTCCGTGGAAGAATAATCGTGAAACCGGACCCTGGTTCAAAAAAGGTTAGGGGCCACTGACATAGAGGTACCTCTTGGTGTGATTGATGTCAAAGTACATGAGTGTACTATTATTTATTAAATTTGTTTGCTGACTATTGCACTATGAGGCTTACAAGGTTAAAAAGAATAAAACTATACAAAAACAAGTATATAGCAAAGAATAAAATACTATAAAAATAAAAATTAAAAGACAGGGAGGAAAGTAGTAGTATAAGCAAGGGGGGAGGTGGGATATTTTGTTCATCTATCAACCACCCCCAGTATGAAGTTCCCATATTGGAGCCCCAGGTGAACTGGCAGAACCATATCTTCAAGCACTTATGGAAAGACAGGACAGTGAAAGCTGAACTCACTATGGGCCACACAATGTTCCAAAGGGCAGAAGTGACAGCAGCATGCGGTATGATTGAGGGCCTATGATCTGTATTATTTTTGTGGACATCCATAGGGTGTGCATGCCTTATCCCTTGGGTTGCCAGAAATATCTTGAATTGATTGCCGGTGACCTGGGGACCATTATCTGACACAACCGCATCTGGCAACCTGTGTGTTGCAAATAATTTTCTCAATACTCTGATGACCATTTATGTCATGGTCGATGTCATGATGTTGACCTTTAACCATTTGGAATAGGCATCTACTATGATAAGGAAGGTGTGTCCCTGACATGGTCCTGCAAAGTCGATATGAATTCGGGACCAAGGTATCTTTGGACTTTCCCACTCATGTATGGGTGCAATGCGTGGAGCTGGCCGGGATTCTTGGCAGGGTGTGCACGTTGTGACCCATATCTCTATTTCCTTATCCATTTCCAGCCACCACACATAACTTCTAGCCAATGCTTTCATCTTGATTATCCCTGGGTGTCCCTCATGTAATATTTCTAGAATGTCCTTCAGTAACATTTTAAGGATTATTACTCTATCACCCCACAACAGGCACCCCTTCAGTCCCAACAGTTCAAGTTGTCATGTTTTGGTCTTCTACTGTAGCCTCCAGCAATCCCTTCCATACCCAGTTTAAAATTTGCATCAGCGTCTTTTGCGGTAGCTCTCACAATCTCTGCTGCAGTGACTAATCCACTCGTGAGGGTTTCTATGGGAAGTGTGGATGTCACCGGTGCTGGGTCCTCCACTGGCTCTAGTAATGGGCATCTGCTGAGTGCATCGGCATGGTCGATGTTTTCCTCTGGTCTGTAGCCCAGTTGGTAATTGTATGCGGCTAGGCATTCTGTCCATCTCATCAATCTCGTGGAGAGTATGTGCAGTGCGGATTGGTTTCCCGCAATGAATATTTTATGGTCTGTGATTACTTCAAAGCTTCTGCTGTATACATATTTGTTATGTCCCACCTTCCAAAATAAACAGATAAGGCTGAAAGCAGCAGTCCTCGCAAATAAAGGCAGCAAACAGGAATCTTCACTGATAACAGCTGTAGATAGCCTCCACAAGATAGTCCAAGTTAATAGTTCCAACGAAATAAATCCAAGTCCCAACAAGATATTTCAGGTTTAAATCCTCCAAGCCAAAATCTTCGGTTCTCCTTGCAAACAAACACTTTGTTCCAGACAAAGTGCAAAGTCATCTCTCTCCCTTTATAGAGCAGCAGCTAATTAGTCTAATTACTGATCTGCCCTCCTCCTGTGCTCCCGTTGGTTTCTTCTCGTAAGGAGACGCCTGCTTCTGACATCCACCCAGCAATCATCTAAATTATTATCTTCACCTGAAGTCTCCATAAGTTCCTCATTGTCAGCCGTTCCCGGCTGATAACCTGATTGAGAAGCAGAGGAGGTTGAAGGTTCAGGCCGGTCCTGCAAATCAAATGTGTCCTCCCTTGTAACATTCGTCTCCTCCTCTTCATTGAAATCACTAAAACTTGCTGATTCATACAAGTCCTCCTCGCTGGAGCTTTCATTCAAAAAACCTGTAGCTGATGCCGGAATCACAACACATATTCATGGAATCGTTTGATTCCAGCAACTGCAGCCAGTGCTTCCTTATCAAGCTGACTGTAGTTCCTTTCTGCTTTGGATAATGTTTTGGAATAAAATGCAATGGTGGCTTCCCTTCCATTCAGCATGCAATGGCTAAGGATGGCCCCTACTCCAAAAAGTGAAGCATCACATTGTTAGTCTTAGGGGTAGTTTTTCATTATATTGAACAAGCATGCTGTCTGATGTCAAAAGTGTTTTTATTTCTTTGAATGCACTTCTTTTTGTCCCCATTTCCATTCTGCTTTTTTGTCAAAGAGCTGGTTCATAGGTTCAGCAGTCATCACCTTCTGTGGCAAGAAAACGTTGTAGAAATTTAGTAACCCTAGGAATGCTTGTAGCTCTGTCTTATCATTGGGGATTGGGGCTTCCAGTACTGACTTCAGCTTGCTGTCGGTGGGGTGTATGCCAAAGCTATCAATCAAATACATAAAAAACTCAACTTTCTCAACAGCCAATTGGCATTTGTCCTTCTGTATTTTTAACCCCACTTCTTAAAACTGGCTTAATACTATTCTTAAATGACGTTGTAACTGCTCTTTGTCTCTCACTGATATGAGAACATCATAAAAATAAGGCACTACACCTTCGGTGCCCTGTAGGAGGCCCTCCATCAGGCTCTGAACAGCCATGGGGCCACGCTCCTCAAACTGTAACCATCAGCATTTGAATGCCCCCTGTGGGTGACAATAGTCTGGGCTTCTGCTGTGGCATCATCAATGGGCAACTGTTGGTATGCCTGAGCCAGATCAATCTTTGAAAAGATTTTTCCTCACCCCAGGGAGTGCAATAGGTGTTGCACAACTGGCACGGGGTATGCACTCTGCTGTAACACTTTATTGAGTGTACTTTTGTAATCAGCGCAGAGGCGCACTGACCCATCTGGTTTCGGGGTGTGTGTGACTATGGGTGTTTCCCACTTAGCATGATCCATTGGCTCCAAAATCCCATGAGCAGTAAGTTTATCCATTTGCTTGTCTATTTTGGGCTGCAGAGCAAATGGGACCCCCCTGGGTTTCATCCAGGCAGGGGCAAACTTGTGTCAGTCACTGATGCATGCTTGTTTTTCCCACTTTGAGTACGGGGCCAATGATTGGTCCCTACATCATCCCATTCAATATCTAACACTGGGGGTCCCAAAAGCTGCATCACTACATTATACACCAGATGTAGCTTCAGAATACTCTTTATGGGTAGTTCCATGTAGAGCAGGTTGTAATAGCCCAAATGTGAGATGACTAGGGCTTGAATGATTGAGCACAAGGACTCCTGATCCAGGAAAGACTGCAACTGTTGCACAACCTGAAGTTGTGCTAAGCCTCTTCTAGCTATGACTGCCACCTGCTCTTTGAGCAGGAGTCATAAGTCAAAGAGAACTGGAAAGTTGCAGAACAGATCTGTCCAGGATAGTGCCACCCCAACCAGAACTAAGGATGTCAAATCCCAGATCTTGGGGCTCCAGGCACCCAAAATAATTCAGTCTTGTCAGGGTTCAGCCGAAGCCTGTTGTCTCGCAGCCCAGACCCCAAAGTCTCCAGGCACTACAAGAGAGCAGCAATAGCATCACTTGGGTCACTAGGATTGGAGACAATCATCAGCGTACTGATGCTACCTCAACCCATGGTGACGGATGATCTCACCCAGCAACTTCATGTGAATGTTAAAAAGGAGTGGAAAGACTACTGAGCCCTGAGCCATACCCCAAGAGAGCAGTCATGGGCTGGGTCTCTTAATCCCCCGTATCACTGATTGTGACTGGCTTTGAGAAAGGAGCCAAATCAGTGCAAGATTTTGCTGTCCAGCTCCAGCCCAAAAAGATAGCATAGTGAATGATATCAAATGCTGTTGAGAAGTCAAGGAGAGCAAGGATGGTTGCACTACTATTAGAAAGAAGCAAATTAGATCTACACGTGAGATGTGCTACAGAGGAAATCATTACTGTCCAGAAAGAACATTAGGTCAGGACTAAAGTTTTCTCAAAAACACTTAGTAGGCAAAGATCAGGATTTATGGAACAATGTGCTCTGGATACATACAAGACAAAGATAGTTATTTGGTCATCATAACAAAAGACACATGTGGTGAGAACCAAAGATAGCTTTTCCACCAGAAGATCCTAATAACAAACTATAAAGGATGTTTGAGGCTGCAGGCAGGACCTGGGCAGCTCATCATCACAAAATCCACTATGAATTCTTCATTTTAACAGAAAGTATTTGAGAATAATGTAATACTATCTTGCAGAAGATTGAAAGTCAAGCAGAAAGAAAGGAAGGAAAGGGGAGAGGGGGGGGGAGGATGGAGGGGGGAGAGAAAGAATGAACACTGGAATGGCCAAGTCAAAGTATAGATCTAAATGCCACTGAGATGCTATCACGTGATTTAAAATTTGAAACAGCCCAAACATTGCACAGATGAAAAAAATCTGCAAAAAGTAGTGGGGAAAAAATTCTCCCAGGCAATGTCAGGCACTAGTAAATGATTGAAAAAAGGTTAACTTGAGGTTGTTTCTGGCAAAGGGTCACTACCAGATATTAGAGCCACAGATGTACTTAATCTTTTTCAGAGAAGAAAATGGCATGTCTATTAATTTTCTAGTGAACTAATTGATTGCAAAGTCATTTTTCTTTTCAAAGTTCATTTAAGACACCTTTATATATTATTTAAATTAAGAAAAAATATTGATATTTCTATATATATCTTAGCAAAAACTTTACATGGGGTGTACTTACTTTTTTCACATGACAGTATAGATTGGGAATGCAGTTGTTTTTAGAGAATGGTGAATAAAAATTCAAGAAAGAAAACCATACAATCTATCATGCAGTACAAATATTTGTATAAGTGGCCCCCTAGAAATCTCTTCTGTGACCTTGAGATACTTTCAAACATCCCAGTGCTGGCTTAGCTAAACATTTTTTTTTTAAGTGAGAATTGGAGTTCAGCAATTTTTAAGGTGTGGGCGAGAGGATCGGCAAATACATACATACATAGTTCTGGAAGGAAAGGAGAACCTTTGAGCAATCCCCGTTTCAGACTTTTCAGCACTGCAGCTTTTTCTAAAATATAAGGATTGCTATTCCATATAAGTGGTTGCTGCTTAATGATACCAAACCCGAAAGCAAAACAACAAACAAAAACCCTGGCCCAGAGGTGATGAGATCAAGATTGTGATGTCCAAAAGTAGTCCCTCGTGATGTTTGGTCTCTATGCAAAACAGCATTTTCAAGATCCTCTGAGAAGTTCAGCACTAAAGAGAAAGTGGACCGAGAGCATCATGTTTTTTGCTCTCAACCATCTGTAAGGAAGGGAAAGGGGGAAACCTCACGTGCATACACTTACTTCTCTTTTAAAATTACTACAGCTGCTGTGACTATAAAGTTACATCAGGTGAGCCATTACAGCACTTTTCCAAACATGCAAAACAACTAATTTCCTGATTTTATTTCTCTTTGAATAGTGCATCTTCAAGGCCACGGTGTATCAACAAAAGTCTCTCTCCACTTGTTTCCATGTCCATAATTGGATTCAATTACCTCATATCCAGTGCTGGAAAACAAAAAAAACAAAATTCTTATTCAAGATATGAGATTTCTTTTTTTTTTTTTTTACAACTGCATTGAGCACCTTGCTCATGAATTACTTTTATATTTCCAGAATGAAAGGAAAGGCGAAAGGACAACTGTTAACATCATCATTTCATAGGAAACTCTCTATGTAAAATTGCACAAAATTTTCAAAATGATTTTCAGTTTCCCCAGCATTTATTTAAATACATTCCTCATGTGTGACAGATAAAAACATATTGGATCATCCTGAACGATAAAAGGAACAAAGGCTCTTTGTTTACATTTAGGGAAGGTTTTTGCATCTGATGCTGAGTCACGAGGCTCCTTTTTCTACCAGATTAAATGTTTGTCAACCTCCAGGAGAGCATTCAGCAAGCTCAATAGATTATTATAGGAATTGAAAACCCACTGTGCAATGTTTGGAATACTCTACCTGACTCTGTGGTTTCTTTCCCACACCCCCAAAACTTTAACCTTAGACTGTCTACTATTGACCTCATCCCCTTAAGAGGCCTGTAGGGGGCGTGCATAAGTGCATCAATCGTGCCTACCGTCCCTGTCCTATTGTTTTTTATTTTTCTTATAAGTATCTATCTCATGTATTCAAAACTATATTTATTCTTATACCTGTATCTTGTAAGTGGTTGACAAAGCAAATAAATACTAAATACTAAAAAAAACATACTAAATATGTTATTGCATGACTGATACAGATAATCAGAGTTGGAAGGGACCTTGTACGTCATCTAGTCCAACCCTCCGCCCAAGCGGGTGACCCTACACCATTTCTGACAAATGGCAGTCCAATCTCTTCTTGAAAGTCTCAACTGATGGCGCTCCCACAACTTCCAAGGGTAAGCTGTTCCATTGGTTGATTGTTCTGTCAGAAAGTTTCTCCTTGTTTCCAGGTTAAATCTCCTTGTTCAGTTTCCATCCATTATTCCTTGTCTGGCCTACAGGAACTTTAGAAAATGGCTTGACCCCTTCCTCTCTTTGGCAGCCCCTCAAATATTGGAAGACCGCTATCATGTCTCCCCTTGTCCTTCTCTTCACCAAACTAGCCAAGCCCAGTTCCTGCAACCGTTCATTGTATGTTTTAGCCTCCAGTCCCCTAATCATCCTGGTTGCTCTTCTCTGTACTTTTTCTAGAGTCTCAACATCTTTTTTATAATGTAGTGACCAAAACTGGATGCAGTACTCTAGGTGTGGTCTTACTAAGGCTTTATACAGTGTTATTAGTACTTCCCTTGATCTTGACTGTATCCCTCTGTTAATGCAACTTAGTATTGCATTAGCTTTTTTGGTGGCTGCTACACACTGCTGGCTCATATTTAGCTGGTTGTCCACTAAGACTCCAAGATCCCTCTCAGAGTTACTGCTATTGAGCCTGGTTTCACCCAGTCTATGTGTACTTTTGTATTTTCTTGCCTAAGTGTAGGACTTTACTTTTCTCTATATTGAATTTCATTTTATTAGATATGGCCCAGTGTTCCAGTCTGTCAAGATCCATCTGGATCTTGAGCCTATCTTCTTGAGTGTTGGCTATTCCTGCCAGCTTAGTATCATCTGCAAATTTGGTAAGTTCCTCTTCTATTCCCTCATCTAAGTCGTTAATGAAGATATTGAAGAGTACTGGGCCTAAGACGGAACCTTGTGGCACCCCACTGCTTACTTCCCTCCATGTAGACTTAGACCCATTAAGGACTACTCGTTGAGTACGGTTTGCCAACCAGTTGTGAATCCATCTAGTGTTGGTGCTATCTATTCCACTTTTTTCTAGCTTACTAAGAAGTAGGTTGTGGTCTACTTTATGGAATGCCTTGCTGAAATCTAAATATATTATGTCCACAATATTTTGCTGGTCTACTAATTTAGTCACTGTGTTGAAGAATGAAATAAGATTGGTTTGGCATGATCTGTTTTTAACAAGCCCGTGACTTTACTTGTTTCTAGATGTTGGCAGATCTGTTTTTTATTATCTTTTCCAGTATCTTCCTGGGTATTGATGTCAGGGTGATTGGTCTATAGTTTCCTGGGACTGTTTTTTTTTTTCCTTTTTTGAAGATGGGAACCACATCAGCTCTTTTCCAGTCCTCTGGTAGTTCCCCGGTGCTCCAGGATTTTTGAAAGATATGGTGCAGTGGTTCTGAGATGACCTCTGCCAGCTCCTTTAAAACTCTGGGATGTAATCCATCAGGCCCCAGTGATTTGTTTTCATCAAGATCAGACAGGTGTCTGACCAGACTCTTTAGACTTACCAAATATATTTAAATTAACTATAAAATTAGATAAGGGCTGTGTTACCAAGTTTGAGTAAATAATTTTATTTGACTGAATCTAAAATAAAAATTTGCATGTGGAACAAACTGATGAAACACTCATCATTATCCCACCAATTAACTGTTTGATTGCAAGACCTAATTACCTACTAGTTAGGCCGCAGTGAAAGATTAATTAATCTTGATCCCCATGTAATAGCTTTAGTATAAAATAAAAATAAATGAAGTCTAAAGTAAATAGCAAATCAGAGTGGAATGCTGCACACACAATATGAACATTTGTTAAATTATTTTTCCTTTTAGCTGATTGATGGCAAATATGGCATTCTCTATTACTATTAAGCCAGTAAAGAAAAATACATTTTACAGATTGCGTGCTTGAGTCATTGCAGTCAGCTTCATAGCTATAAATTAGTGAAATGGATCTATGTTACACAGATCGTACATACATAAAAACCAAAGATGGATACAGTCATTTTGATTTATATATCTTTGTTTCTTAGGTCTGCATATTTCCATAGTACACAGGTTGGTCTCACAAACATGACTGTTTATGTTACTGAATTTAATAATGAAAATGGCAAGTTATACCAAGCAGAACCCACAAATTAATGTTAAAAAGTAAAAGGCTCCTATTCCATATGCAACCACACAGTCAGGCTCTTTGGCCTATGATATTCCTTCCACCCCTGTACATTCAATCCTTATTATGTGTTGGAAATCCCTGTTCTCCCAAACCCTACAAGTTTTCATACTTCTTCAAAAGTTGGAGTAAGTCTACGGACATTTACCCCTTTAAATATAGGCAGCTCAGTTTTGGCCTTGAAAGGAATAATATTCAGAGAGTTAGCGTCTTCTAACAAAAAATAATCTTATTTGCTGTAGACAGTGTTCCTCATCCTTTGCAACTTTAAGAAGATCAGACATCTTAAAGTTATTAAAGTTCAGAAACATTGCTATAAGACATCAGAGTTGATTTTCAAGTTTTAAAAATGTAATAAAAATATTGCAGAAGAGAGATTATTAATGTTTTACTTTATACATATAACTGTATTATTCTCAATAATTTTGAGGACTATGACAAGAAGTAACAATCAGCTTGCACTAAGATCAGCTAGCATGAAAAACCCTAAGAGTAAATAAACTTCACACAAATAATTATACAGTTTAAGTTTTGCCCAGTGCAGAATTTCCCCAGATAGCAACTTCACAATTTTTCTATTGATTAAAATATATTAAATTTTAGGAAATTGCAAAATCTCTGAGATTGTGATGTTCTGACTAAAATCTTTTCAATCCTTTTGGGGGGGAAACCCAAAATTTTGCAACATTTGGTATTATATTGAGATCTTAACTATTTTAAAATTACTTTATTTTATTTTGGTGCCCCTTCCAGAGGCCACTTATGGTAGCCACATCGACCATTAATGGCTTGACCACAGATAGAAGTAGCATTCTGAACCACACATTAATGTGATAGAAGCTTGGTATACTTCACATATATCTAAGAATTTACATTAAACCTAAGAACATAAATTTTCTCTGCTCAAAATGGCAGTAAACACCCCATCAAATTGAACCATTGCTTCAGATTTCCTATATATTCCAAAGTCTTGGGAAATTTTCTCTACACTAGTTTAGGAACAGACAGAAGCCATACAGCATTATTTTCATGTGGAGTTTTGAAGTTCAACAATTACATTTTTGGGAGATAATTACATCTTCTTGATATGCCAGAGGGATAACAGGGACACTTAGCGTAACAAACATATTTCTGGAGTAATTGTGACAAAAATAACACTGAACAACAAAGATTTTGCTTCCTGAACACTTTGGGCATACCTAATATTGTTGGTGGCTAATCATGAAAACGATTTCACCTATCAGATACTGTTTATAGGAATCTTCTGTTTTTGCAATTTCTTCTTATATATATTTTAAGTTTACTAATTTTCACTTGTGTTATAAAATGCTTTGTGTAATTCATGCATGTCCAGGCATACACTTGACATATTGTATAACATTGCACTACAAGAGCTATGGTGATGCAGTAATTACCATGCAGTGCTGCAGGCTAACTCTGCTGACTGCCAGGAGTTTGATACAGACCAGCTCAAGATTGAATCAGCCTTCCATTCTTCTGATATCAGTAAAATGATTGTTGGGGGCAATATGCTGACTCTGTAAACCACTTAGAGAGGGCTGTAAAGCACTGCGAAGTGGTATATAAGTCTAAGTGCTATTTCTGGATCAGGTACAGTTTGGGCATACCTAGGCATATTTAGGCTGGCTGGATGCTGCTTGGAAAGTAGGTTGCATGCACAGATGCTACTCATTTCATTGATATCAATTTCTATGTATTTTGATGTGATTGTTTCAAGACATAACATAGTCTAGGCACATGTAATTTACATAACAAGTAAGCCAGTTGATGACTTGTTATGGGACAACTAATGATAGCAGAAAAGTCTCACTCATGTTGGAACAGTTGTGATATGGTTTTACACTTGTGGCAAGTACAGCTTAAGCCTCAAAGATAGAAATAGCATTTAGACATATACCACTTTATAGTGCGTTACAGCCCTCTCTAAGCAGTTTACAGAGTCGGTATATTACAACAATTTGGGTCCTCATTTTACCCATCTCGGAAGGATGAAAGGCTGAGTCAACCTTGAGCCTGGTGGGATTTGAACTGCCAAATTGTAGGCAGCTGGCTGCAGAAGAAGTAGCTTGCAGTACTGCACTCTAATCACTGCGCCACAGAGGCCCTATGCACCACGACTGGACTTGCTAAGGAAGCATATGAATTTATTCTGGTTATGCGATTGATGATGATAAGAAAACGGAGTTCCTTACATTTGTTGTGCAAGATGTGCTGTTCATCTTAGACCTTGACTCAGACGAACTTGGAAGTCAATGTAATTTGTTATCCCAATGATATAGCCGGAACAGAATGATTACATGAAAGTCTGTTACTTCTGTCTGATTAATGTCACTGGCTCCTCTGCTAAAACTAAGAAATAAATTAAATACCTCAATCTGCCTTTAGCCATATGACCAGTGCCACATGATAACCATCTGCCAGTACTGAAGCTATCAAAGACATGAAGCTTAGACAAAATAGATGAAGATGCTGCAACGCACCAGCCAGGAAGGAACAGTAACAATTATCTGAATTTTGAAGTGTGTTGGTCTGGTGAACTCATCTCATACAAAATCAAAATTAAATGATAAAAAGCAGAACTACTGGGTTCAAAACTGCAAATCATGGTGTTTGCTATCACCAGTACAAAGCTTTCTGTTTTTCAAAGCTGCCAAGATGATTTAACAAATTTCTTGGCACAGGTTGAAACCTCATTTTTTTGTACTGACATTGATGATTTGTTCAGTTTTGGATTGTGAGTATGACCCACTAGAATGGCATCTCTTTATTGATTCATCAGTGTTAAGCCTCAAGGCTGTCTTGTTACACAATGGCAATATACACCCTTCAGTTCCTATTGGCTATGCTGCACAAATGAAAGAAACTTATGAAAACAAGGAACTGTTGTTGAAGCATATCCAGTACACCAAGTGTAACCGGAATATCTGTGGATATCTAAAATTACTCACTCTGCTGCTTGCAATGCAGCTTGGATATACCAAGTACTGTCGTTACAAAAGAATGTGCAAAAGAATCACATTACATGAAAAAGAAATGGCTACTCCAAAAGAATTTGGTTCCAAGCCAGAAAAACATGGTGTATGAACCACTTGTTGACCTGATAAATATATTTTTGCCTCCCCTTCACATAAAACTTGAAGAAAAAAAATGTGAAAGCAATGAAAAAGGAAGGCGAATGTTTTCATTATTTGAAACAGATGGTTCCATGAATAACTGATGCTAAGATTAAGGAAAACATTTTTGTTGGTTCACAGATTTCCAGTGAAAAGCAGTTCGAAGATCTGTCAGTAGCATGAGACAAAATCACCTGGAAATCATTTAAGGGTGTTGAGAATTTTCTTGGCAAATGCAGAGCACTAAACTATATTCAGTTCATTGACGCATACAAGATTGTGAAATGCAACACGTCACTGAAGATTCATTTTCTGCATTCACACTTGGACTTCTTTCCCAAAAATCTAGGTGCAATAGGTGATGAACATGGTGAAAGCTTTCATAAGAACATTGGCACAATAGAAAATCAGTATCAGGGCAACTGGAATTCATCAATTCTGGCTGACAATTGTTGGACACTACAGTGAAATGCATCAGACACTGAGTACAAGTGAAAATCAGCAGCAAAACACTTTTAGGCTGTTGAACTCATGCAGTATGTTGGAAGCATTATGCAATTAAATAAATTACAGTCAATAAATTGAATTTGATATTTCTCAAGGATACTATGATTTTGAAATCATATTTGTGTTCAGTCTGAAGGGGTCTATCATAATCATCCAAATATTTTCAGGAAGCAAAATTTTTGAAAAAAACAACAATGTGCAGTGTAATATGTGCCAAGATCCTGAAAAATAAGAACAATGGTTTGCTGTATGTTGCTACTACACATTAGAAAAGAAATAAGCCCTATGGTTGTGAAATATAGGAGCATGTCATAATGTAAAGTCTATATCATAACCAAGCTGAGAGCTATTCATGTCTTATTGGGATAAGACTATAATACTAAATCATGTGTTTCAAATTCTATTTCAGAAATATGTAGAAAAGAAAATCTTTGTCATGTTGACAAACATGTACCCAAAATACAGATAATGGCTACTCACCATCATCATTCTAACATTACTCCTTTTGCATCTTTTGAAAAAGCAAGCAAAGAGTTAGTAATTAGTCAAACAAACAAGAATAGAATAATTCAGACATGCCATAGTTCTGTGTAACATGAAAGAAATGAGAGCACCAACATTAACAAAAATACCTCTGGATAATCCAAAAACAATTAACATTCCTCTTGATTTTTATATCACCAGAAGTGCTTTCAAATCAGCTGGATCAAATAAGAAATTGGATATGCAACAGCAAAACAAAAAAAAGCAAAAAAAAGAGCACAGCATAATCCCAGAAATTCATGCACCCCATGCAAAAGGCAGGGTAACATCTACCTTTAAGAAGAAATCTGCTTTCACATTAAGAGATTGATTCTTTTGGCCAAGCAATTTATATGGTCATTATCCCATTTATCCTAAAAAATACCATCCAGTAGACATACCAAAAACTACTGTACCACAAAGCATTAGTTATCCTTGAAATGACCAGAAGATCACCAGTGATTTGATGCCATGATTCATGTTCCATTATCTTGCATACATGTCTATTTCTAAGTGGCATCAACAGTCATTCTCTGATGTCAATCAAAACACCAATATCAAATCTCCCAAACTAAACAAAATTACCACCTACCATTAAGTGATTCTTCAACAGCTTTCTGTAAAATATTTAAAATACATAAAGCTTTCAAGTCTAGTTTGGAGGTCCAAAATTTAAACAACTCTAATCGATATATATAATAAATAGTGATTCTATAAAAGAAATAAAAAGAGGCAGCAAAACATTTAGAAAGATTAGTGACAGGTTTGGTTATTTCCAGGCTATAAAAGATGATGACATGCCTGCTTCAGAAGTACTTCAGTGGCAATAGCTTCTCTTTGCAATTTAGCAGTAATGCAGAAAACAAACATTACAAAGAACAAGTAGCTGTATTCAGCAAGATCGCGTCTGCAATGACAACTATAGAACACATTTCATTTAACTGGTAGCAAACTACAAATCACAGAAATAAGTTGAAGAACCAAATCTTTCAAACATATCATCAGAACTTTAACAAAGACAGTATCAGTTATATTTTTGTCAAAATATTGGAGTACAACAGCATAACTGCTTTAATGGTGGCAACTTTCCCCCCTTAAAAGTACAGTTAAGGAAAGGGATGTGATGACCACATCAGGAATATACAAATGTTTCTTTATATTTCAATACGTTCATTATTTTTAAATGATATCACTAAAATTCCCCCCCCCCAAAAAAAAAAAAAAACTTGGAACCAAAATTATCATTTTGTGAATGCTTTATTTCCCCTTTTTGGCAATTCCTCATTTTGGGGAAATAATAATTTGCTTTAATTCCCCATTTTGGCCACTATTTAAACTGTACTAAAGTTTGTCCATGTATGTTGTATGAGACTTTGGCTTAGTCACAAAGCATAGATCTCAGTGCCTAATTTCTATTTGTATTTTTTTTCAGCCTGAATCAATCCACTCACTGGCCTGTTTGTTTGTCTAGTCCAGTAAAAGTTGGTAGGTATGTGTTTTCTACTTTCCAATCTAAAGCTGAGAATGAGTGACTGGCTCAAAATCACTCAATTGGTTTGTCTGGCTAAGGGAAGACTAGAACCTGGGTTTCCCTAATCTTAATCCAGCACATTCACCACTTTTCCACACTGGCTCTCAGAGAGATAGTAGGTTATGTTGGTATGTTGATAGACAAGACTTGCACAAACACACATGTTTTACATACAGAGAGAAAAACTGAAAGTCTTTACCAGTAAATGATTGTATTTAAATGTTTCTTGTTTTCTTGATTATTGAATTATACATATAATTTAAGGACTTTCAAGAAAAGGGTACACAATAGAATAAGATATAAATGATTTAAGAAAAGAATACAGCTGGTTACCCTAGTCCAGGATGCCCACAAATACTGTATTAAAAGGATTTGTAGTGCAGATCATTTTTTCATATATTGTTAGAAAATTAGTAACAATAGATTAGAAATCAGGTTTAGGAATTATTTCAAACTTAATGAATCTAATCACAAAGATTTAGCTAATGCCATTGCAGATGCAATACATGCCATGGTTAAAGCAAGCCAGAAGAGACAGATTCACAAATAAGAAGACATGGACAGGTGTAAGAAATATGTGACCCAAATTCTGTTCTGCTACTTTAAGTTAATCTTTCCACTATGTCTGAGTACAAAACTTGAGATACCCACAGTAGTGCACTGCACATTACGCACCTGCTTTAAAGGGCTAGAAAATTCATTTGTTGCCAGACGAATAAAAAAAACAAGCCAAAGAGTGCTTGAAGTTTGTGACTGAATTACAAGTAGTCCTTGTAAACCCATGTGACCAATCCAATTTTGCATATATATATATATGGCATTCAGCTTCGTTCGGGTATTTTCCCACGTCATTGTAGTTGTGCTTTTAAAGTTGTAGCAACGTTTTGGCAGAATCTCATCTGCCATCATCAGGCTTCTGTATATATGCAGTGCATATATATGCAGTGCTCTTAAAGTGGATTTTGAAGTTGCAAACCAACTGCCAGGGTTGTTAAGCAAACACCAGAGTTGTTAAGCAAATGAATGATTTATTACAGGTTAGTTTTGGTGGAAACCAGAAGTAAATGCTGTTTTTCAGTCAATATGTAAAGCCCAGTTTATATGACTGCAGGATGCTGCAACTGGCTATAAATACAGGCTGGTTGCTAAGTGCCTGACATGCGGTCATATCAGGGATGGGATCTGACTGGTATAACTACCGGTTCTGTCTACTAGCATCGCGCGCGCATGCACAAGTCGCGCGAGTCAATTTACAACCTGCTGAGCTGCCCGGACAGCTGAGCAGCGCTGTGTGCAAGTGCACAGTGGTTGGAAAAGCCCTTGTTTCCTGCTTTTTCAACTGCAGCTGTGTCGCGCAAAGCAACTGCAATTGAAAAAGCAGGAAATAAAGGTCAGATAAGAGTTCGGGGGGGTTGGTGGGCCACAACAGCAGCAGACATAGAACCGGTTCTATGTCTGTTGCTCTTCAGAGCAACTGGTTTTGCAGAGGTGGACAGAACTGATAGAAAACCACCCCTGGGTCACATGTCCATGGGAGAGGCTAGTGGTCATCAGAACTTTGGAGTCATAAATATCTGAGGAAATTCACTGTAATGTCAAATGGTTGTTAAGTGACCAGTGTACACAGGCTCAACAATCTTCCTACTTTCCATGCATCTCAAAGGGAAAGGAGCACAATAAAGGCAGCATAGATGAGATAATAGAGATGGCATCAGTAATCATCTCAGGCAGCAGCTGCTCTTGGGAAATTTTGTATTGTAATTAATTAATTGATTTCTATAGCCACCCATTTCAATCAATGACTCTAGATGGTTTACAATTCCAAATCTTGTGATTTCATGAGGTCTTAAACAATGTTGTAATATTTCAGATGTATTTGTTTGTTTCTGGATGGCCAGTTTAGCACACGCTCTGAGGCTGTCCATAGATTTGCATTACCTATCCCTATTGTGCAGTCATGCTGTCTCCTATAAATCCTTTGTCTAGGTTGAAGTTTTCCATGTAGCAGAATATGCACATCTAAAGTTATAGTTCATAAAGATCTTGAAGTACAGAGAAAGCAAGAAGCAAGGCTTGAGAACACTATGGACATGCACACAATTATTTTTAATCACTTCATAGTAGGATACTGTCTTTCTTCAACCATCCCAGAATTTATAGGGTATTATGCAAGACAATAATTCACATATAACATATTTGCATTGCCTGTACCAGTTATCCAAAACTTAGCAAAATGTCTCTATCTCAAAAATGCAAATGTTCATCCAAATCAATATAGCAATGAATCTTTGAAATCTGTTCAGTAAATAAATGATGACGTAGAGACAGAAGAAGAAAAATAAATACAGTGAATTAACACAGAAATTGATGTAATTTGTTAAATTTTATTTTAGTCAGATGCACATTTAACTAGGCTTTTATTTTGCCCAATTTCTTTGTATTAATTTAGGTACTTTTTTGATTTGGCCACTGACATGCCACCCAAAATTGGCCTCTAGTTAGTCTGGGTGTAGTAGGGGATAACAGTAGGCAGCACTCTTTGAGAATATACATTGGTTTAGCTATTCTTTAATAACTAAGCATGAACAAGTCAACTGTGATTTCAAGGTTCAAATGTGATACGTGAGACTGTTTAATGACACACAGAGGAAAAAAGGAGAAAGAAACCAACACAAATGAATCCACTGGAGTTGGATAGCTTATAGATTCAAATAAAATTAAATGAATGCATGGATGTATTTAATATGTAAATAATATATTACATGCAGACATTAATTCAACCTAATTTTAAATATCTCATTAAATCTTCACCATATGGAATAATGCAATAATACTGATCACCCATTGAAAGAACATCCTGATTCCAGTGGATAACTGATCACGCTGCAAGTCAAGTTTGCATTTTGCAATTTCAATATGAAATAGGGTAAGAAAAGATATTGCCAGAAAGACTTCTTAGAGTAGAATGAAAAATGTGGAAACCCAGGTTCAATGAGTTCCAAGAGAGTTGGTACTGACTTGATGGCACAGTAAAGATCCTTGAAGAAAGTATAGATAGCCAGTTGAATGCAACACACATTCTTGCCATGTTTTCTGTGGGTTTTGCTTGCTACCAATCTGCAATTATGAAAGCTCAGCATTTCATTACAAATTCTCTGAGCCATGTAGACACCCCAAATACATTAATGGTAAGCTTACCCTTGGAGGCTGATGATCTTTCAAGTTGGAACCTAGGTTAAAAATATAAAACACATTTTCTGTTTAGATAACTAAAACTAATCTAATCTAATCACATTGCATGGGTGATATTATCAGTGTCCCATTAATTATTTTTCAATGCGGGTTTATTTCTATCTTTCAGTTATTACAATATGACAGCGTTCATAAGCTGAATTAAGGGGGGAAAGTAAGAAGAAAGCCACTGCAATGTTAGGGAAACTCTAAATAGTTTAATTGCCTAAGAAAGGAATGAAGACTTAACTGAAAACTAACAAACTCTCCTTTTACAATCATTTTTCTAAAACAGAGTTAATCTATCAGATATCTGACGATTCTAAAAAGGGTTTTAAATCCAGGGTTAATCTATCAGAAATCTGATGATTCCAAAAAGAGATTTAAATACTTAGCCTTTAAATGTTAACATATATTTCTCAGATAAGATTTGCTACGGATTCATTTTCTTGTATCTGGAGCATAAACACTTGGGACCCCACCTTCCAGAAGACATAGGAAAAAAATTGGACAACTGAAACAATGGATTCTTATAATGGAAGAAGTGATACTGAGGATGATCCTGGAATTACTATCTAATCTGACCACATGAAACAATTATTTCTGGTACAGACTATAGTAAATCTTTAATGTCCTTTACTTCCGATCTGCTAGGATTCTAAGCATGCAGGTAGAAAATTAATGTTGTGTTAAAATAGTCTCAACGTCCTATGATCACCCCACATTTTTTGTTCCTTTTTGATGTCAGATGCATGAAGGAGGGGGGAGGGATTTTGGAAGAAAAGATATACTTCTTTGGATATGTGAAATTTACTCATACAGTATATACTAGTTACAGATATTGTATAATGGAACTGCATATGTGAACCGGCTTTCAGGAATACACCAAACAATAATTATTGTAGACTGTCATCCTTGATTTTTTATCTCTGTTGATTGAAGTTTGTTTTCTCATACTATAGTCATTTGATTTATATTTTCCATTAGATGCAGCTATTTGTAACAAAACAACAGGATATAAATATTTTTAAATCAACCATGACTACATTCCAGCTGGCATTACATATAAGGGCAATAACTCTCTACATCAAAGCTGGCTCAAATCATTTATTATTTAATGCAGTTTTAGACTGCTTTATTTGTTATTTCAAAGCAGCCTTTTATCAGCACCTTCCTTCCTACACTAAAATCTTGCTGTTTAAATAAAAATATAATAATGGGACATCAAAATTAATTCTACTATAGACAATTTGAGGCTTCCAGTTTGGGCTTCTTTCGGCGACAGACCGAAATCCGTGATCATGCACGGTTTTGATCCATGCTGGCAGCTGGAGCGCCCTGAGCTGCCCGGATTTGGGGCTGAAGCCACCCCATAGAGGTGGTGAAGAAGGGGGAGCTGTCAGCAGGGTTGAGGAAAGCCGCATCTCTCCTCCTCAGCTGACCATTACTCCCAAAAGCAGTTGCAGCAGTGGTCAGAAATGGCCACCTCAAAGAAGAACCTGACTGGACAAGATTGTGCAGGAGGAAGTTTAAAGGAGAAAGTTTGACTGGCTGGGTTGAATGGAGAACATCTATTTAAGGTACCTGGAACCTGAATTTTAAAGACTAATACTATTCCTAAAAAACATCTTAAGTGGTGAAAGAGAAAGGGAAAGAAAACGGAACTGGCTTTTTTTCCTCTCATATTGACAGTTTTAATTGACTTGGAATTTTAAGAGGAAGAGATTCGAATAAGAAACTGATACTAATCCACTTTGACATTAATAGGCTATTTCTAGCTGAAAATCAAGTGTCTAGGGGATAAAGATTCTTGGATAATTTAAAAATTTTCTTTAAAAAAGAAAGAAAGCAGAGGAGGGAAAAAGGAAACAAGAGGGTGGAATCTGGAAAATGGAGACCACCTGGAACTTAAAAAAAATGATAGTGGAATTTCAACAAGGCTTGCAAAAGATACATTGTAGCTGAAACTTTGTTACAAGATAACAAAGCCCCTGGAAAGAGAAAGTGAGAAAAAAAAGCAAGAAACAGTTTTGGATTATTGGATGATTCCTAGAATTTTGGATGGTGGATCCTAATGAAGCAAAATAAAATCAATTGGGGATTGTTTAAAAATTTTTAAAATGGCATCACCCCTTGAAGAGTTAAAAATGAGACTTAAAGAACAAAAAGAAGAAGCAGAAGAGGGAAGAGGATCTTTTGGCTTCATATTTCAATTTTTAGAAATGGATCACAAAAGGGAGAATCAGATAGAAAAGGGAATAAAAAGGGGAGGGAGAAGAAGAGAAGGAAGAGGGAAAGGAAAAGAAGCTACATAGGACAGAAACAAGATATAAAGGTACAGGAAAAGCATACAAGAATTAAAGGTATAAAACTATTTAAAAGACACAGAGACAATGGTTAAAATTTAACTTAAGGAGAGGATTCTGCAAGGGTGCATGGGATAGCATTGTTATATTAGAAATAGAAAAAGGTTAGAAAATATGTTTAGATGATTAAAGTGATAGAAAAAATTTGTATTGATGTGTAATGAAATATTAGTTTGTAAAGAGAATTAGGCTCTCAATGATTTTTGAATTTGAATAAGAATAATAATTTTATTGACTACTGTTAATAACTATTGTTTGGTTTTTTTATTTAAAGACAGTAATAAGTAAAATATGAAATATAGATGATTAAAGTGAAAGACAACTGATACTAGTAGGTAATGTTTGTTAAAAGAAATAGAAATGTAAAAGATTGTTACAGAATTCGATTCAAAACAGGTATGTGTTATAAAATAGAGGTTAAAAAATGAATGTTATAACTGTAAAGGTGTGACTTAAATTTTTAAACAAGATTTGAAAAAAGATACAAAGGTGTTACACTCCAGTCTAGTAATTACAATTGTTTTATGATAAAAGATAATATGAAATTGTAAATAGGACAGATGAAAGTATAAAAACATTTATTAGAAAGATCTTAAAAATTAGAAAAAGATATGTAATTGAATTAAGAAAGAAATGAGATTATTTAAAATAAGGCTATAGGAAGTAAAGAAAGGGAAAAGGTATTGGAAAAATTGTGAAAATAGTTATAAGATATGGATTAGAATGTATAAGATAAATATGTATTGATTTTATGTCTGTATGGAGAAGTGATAACCCGAGGTCACACTGTTCTCAAAAAAAGGTATTTTATTTGTATTTATATTTTTTGTGAAAATTTAAATCAAACTTTTATTAAAAAAATAAATTCTACTGTAGAACAAAGGGTCACATAAAGTGAAGCTCTGGGAATATGGAAAGAATTTGTCTGCAAGATAATCAGATGTGAGCTATCAATTTGAGTTCTCTGAAGCTCCCTTAAACTGTGCCACTGAAATTCAATAGCAAAATGACAATTTTATTGGATTTTTAACTAACTGCATTTACTTTAAACTGTTTTAAACTAAAATAGAGTTTATTTATTTATTGGACATCTATGCTGTCCATCTCAATACTACAGAGACTCTAGCCAATGTACTAATTAAAATTAAAAAGTGCAAAAGGCAATTAAAAAAGTAAAAAATTAATAAAAATTAAAACCAAAATTAAACACAGCCTCGGGGAAAGAATCTTCTCTATCCTATCAGGCACCCCTCAATGTAGAGGGCCCTTATAGGGCCACAGGCCAAGCAGCAGAGCTAAGTTTTTAGGTTCTTCTGGAAGGCCAGGAGCATGGGAGCAGATCTCACCTCTGACAGGGGAATATTCCAGAGGACAATTATATAATGGATTATATCATGGGTAAAGTTATTTCATGTATGAGCAATCTTGCCCTACATCTAATTTTAAGGCTCCAGAGTACCTATAGATTACACTATAGAAATTTCCTGATAATGCTGCCAATATTATTTGGTGCAATTTTCTCATTTTGCCCCAGAAAAACGGCAAAACAGGTTTTGTATCTTAAGCCATTCAACCTTGCACATTGAGTAAGGTCTCCTTCTAGAAAAAAAAATGTTTGGATTTCTTTTGATTGTTCTTCTAGTTTAATACTAGTACTCTAAATACCACACTGTCCTTCTGGTCTCTATCCTATTCCCTCTACCCTTAGGAGGCCAATATCACTGATCATCACTGCAACAGAGACAGATCAAGTGGTTTGAACAAAAATAAAGCAAGTTGCAGTACTTCTGTCTGCTGACTGAACAAATGTATTATAATTATAATTAAGTTCTTAATGGGTAATATATAACTTATAGATTGTAGGGTTACCATTAACCCAATATAGTACACCTTTTTCTCTCTGTACTATAATAGAAATAAAATTAGGTATCTGATACACCTTTGGAAGATTGTAGCATGCAAACCAATCATTTATGATGAGATATGCCTGTCACTGAAAAACATGCGTAACAACGCAATGCACGAAAAAAAAAAAAAAGGGAAACATATACTGAAAAGGAACTCTAAATTAACACTTGAGTAGACAATTCTGGACTCAAGTATTTCTTTGTATTTGATATAACTCAGGATTAAACAGCCACTACTGAATAGTGCTTATTTGACTTTTACTTGTTTAAATAGTAATGGTCGTGCCTTTGCTTATATTTCTACCTAGCATGATCAGTTCTCTAGCCATGCAGCAAGTGAGGATTTATGCACAAAGAAAATCATCATTGTCTGAAGTAACTATTGAGAGTGAAAACTCCAGTCACAGCAGGTTCTTCATCACACATATTACAAATATTTTCTATAGGCACAAATTTAAATATTCTATGAACGGAAACAGAATGGTTGAAATTCACACACTAATCCAATACTTCAGATATGATTTGTTAAACAAGCCAGAGTGTCCCGGCCTACACAAAATACTATGAAATGATGTCATCTTATGACAAAACATAAACTAATAGAACATTATGCTCAGCACTGTATCTGAATCAATTAAAAAGAGCAAAGTAACGAAAGAGTTTATTGCATTGCATGCAACAATAATACAGCAGTCATCTTCAATTTTTTTAAGATACTGAATGTTAGACCATCGGTTAAATGTCCACAATCAGCTGATCATCTGTACTCCTCTTAATGTTGAACATACCTTTAGTTTTTACAGCTTTTAATTAATTTATGTCATAAATTAATACCATAAATGTCATAATTTTTACTCTTTCACTCTAATCTATTATAAAGTTTTCTAATTTTCCCTCTAATTGCTTGAGGCTTCAAATATTAAATCATATTCCAGTTGTGGATCATATGATATATATACCATACAACTGTTAATTCAGCTAAAGGTCTTAAGTGCTGTTGTGGTGGTGTTATTGTGTCTATAACCAACCACACAGTGCTATACTAGATTTCCCAATAGCCAAGGCTACATTTTCTAACTGCATGTTCATTAAGCAATATTTTTTTGTCAGAAGAAACTTGGCTAAATAGAACAACATATCTTAAGTGAGATTCATTCAGATAATATATCTAAGCATAGATATATGATAATTATTTAAACTGTGGGTAAAAAAAACCATGTAACCCCAGATGATTGACTGGATTTAATTGCTATATATGTGAATTGTATACAGGAGGAAAAAAGTATGGTCTGTAGACACTGATTAAAAACAATAACCTTGTAAAGATAATGTATGACGAACGTGCCACGATAGGGAAGGACACACATTGTATTAACTTTCTTCATGCAGAAACAATGCTATGATCCAAATATTTCTTTTATAAAAAAAAAGAAAAAAACTGATTGATCAAGAATTTCTAAAAAAAATCAATAATTTTCTGAAAATACTTATATCTCATATAAGCTTAATTTGAAATATATATATAAATTATATTTAAATATACTTTAAGCAGCAACTATGACCAAGAGGGCTTTCACACAGATTCAACACTTTGTTGGTTGTGCCTGTACTTGACTGTTCAGACAATCGCTTGCATCTTAGTCACTTCATAAATGGGTAACTACAATGTACTCCATCCACATCAGGCTGTCTGTAAAAGCCACACAGAAGCTACAGCTGTCGCAGACTGCAAGAGCACCCACAGTGATGAGCATGCTATATTACTACCTGATGGCAGTACTCAAGTGCAGTTCCAGGTGAGTTATTATATAAAAAGTCTATTATGACATACAGACTGGATATTGATGCACTGCCTATATCTGAATGTTTCTGCCCATTCAGCGTGACTGGGCAGAGTGGGATGCCTTCAACTAAACAATGTCATCTATTAAGTGCGTTCCTAACAACACCTGCCTTCTGGAATAGCATCCCACCAGAGAGCCAGACAGCTGTCATCCTGGTGACATACAGAAAATCTTTGAAAATTTGGCTATGCATCCAAGTCTTGGGGTACAGATATAATTGAGTTGGATATTGTGTCATTACAATCTGGATGCCGATCATATGTTTCTTTTTCTTTCATAATTCATAATTGTTTTTTTTTTTAAGAAAAGTAACCTGCCGAAATCATCTGGGGTCAAACAATCTTTGTATGAAATAAATAATTAAACATTTTCTACAGAAATTACTTACCAATAATAATAATAATGTAAATTAAGCCAATTGCTGCTACAGCTCCAATAATTGCTAAGCCTACAATCAAAACAGATCCATGTTTCGGCTCACATACTGTTGAGAGAAAAAGGTGGACATTTAAGTGAGTGGTGAAAGATTATGAAAGGGGGGGTGGGGCTGGTACTTTCACCAGCTCTGAACAATATTATATAGATATTTGAGTGGTCATATACCTTATATTTTTCAGACATGATAGTAGAACATGCAAGGACATCTTGAAATTATATAAATAAATGAGGCTTGATTTTTTCATGGCTTTACTATAAAAAAGTTAGGACTAACATAATTTATTTTTATGGCACTTTATTTATAATTTATTTTTATGGCATTTTTATGTTTGTGCATGAGTCTGCTTAATCTGTATAGGGAAGTTTGTATCAGTTAAAACAGTTACATAACAAACATTTCCAGATGTAAGAAGCAACCCACAACCCAGAGGCCTGACAGGCATATCTGGAATTTTAAGAGAACTCAAACTCTTAAAAATATATGCCATGAAGGAAGCCTGACATGCATGACAAAACGTCTGTCATGGAAACATAACTGTTCCCACAGACCCTGATTCATCAGATAGCAGGATACAATAGTTCACAATAGTGAATAAAACTGTAAGCTCAAAAATGATACCATTTAAATTGTATCAGAATGCTTCACAATTTATATTATAGAGAACTTCCATATCTTGGCTTCAAAAAAGTGCAATAATCACTAGGTGGCAGCAAAGAGAGTTTTACCTATTATTTGGAATTTTACAGCTCTGATATGGTAGCCCCATATTAAGGCAGTATCTTTATTTATAACTATATTTGTTATATTTGTATCCCACCTGTCACACAGGCAACTCAAGGTGAGAAACATGAAAGCAATGCGAAAGATATAAAATACTAATCTTGGTCAAAAGAAACAAATCACCAAATGTAATATTTTTGTCCTCTTTGGAAGCTCTTTAAGCATCCATGTTTTTTCCCAGAGTTGAGTATCAACTGCAAACAACTGCTGCAGCAAATCCCAGGAAAATCTATGCTTGGCTTTAGGAGATGCTGATGGATGCTTACATGCAGGCCACTGTGCAAAGTGCCTTGTCCCTCTTGAAATTGAAGCCATGCACAACCATAGCAAGTAGCAACTAGAAGGAAGGGAAAAATGGAGTGACAGAAGGACCACACTGAAATGGGTTAAGAAGGTTAGGAAGGAAAGCAAAAGGGAGGAGTAAAATGAATAAATAGAAGGTGGGGGGGAAACCATTGGGCAAGGAAGGAAAAAAACAAAGACAGCATCACAAAGGCAAGCCCAAATTAAGCTACAGCTGAGCTAATCTTCAAAGGTATTCATTCTTTTCAGCAGTGATGCTTGCTATAATTTGCACTTTTGGTTTATTACCTTCTTTTCAAGACCATGTAAGATGATGCTGAGCTGCAAGGGCCAGCATTCTTTCCCATGCTAACTAGGACACTGGAAGTCCAGAAGCATTTGATATGGGTTGAACATATCTGAAAAGTATTGAATTTGATATAGACATATAGCTATGCTTTGTTGTGATTTTGTTTTAGTTTGAGACAGCCACAGTATAAAAGTTAAGTAACATCTTCAGGATCAAACTGTAACGCATATTACTTTGATAAAGTACATAGTTTACCTGTCACACACAAAGCAAATCCAGCCACAGCAATTACATATCCAAGTGCTTTCAGAGCTAGCAAAATAACTGCAAAAAGTGGTTGCTTCTCAAAAACTAGGGAAAGAACAATAATGTTACTGAGGAAAGAATATATTCAGAAACAAAGGAGAAACAGAACAAGTCAGGATCTTTTAAAAAGTAATTTAAACTTGTACAAACATGTCTCTGGCATGAGATAAAGTTATCAGGATGGATGGATGAAATAATCCCAGGGTAACTTGTTTTATGTGCAATTCTCAATTATATTTTCTTATGTTCAATTGTGTCTGTTTATTGAAGAGTCCCTGGACAAGTCCCTAAGTTTTCTTGGCAAGGTTTTTCAGAAGAGCCATTGCTTTCTTCCTAGAGCTGAGAGAAAGTGACTTGCCCAAGATCACTCAGGTAGTTTTGTGCCTAAAGCAAGACTACCAGACTTCCGGACTCCTGGTTTCCACCCTGATTCAATCACTACACCAAGGAAGCTCTCAGTATAATGTAGTAGAGCAGAATTTGGATACTAAAGGCCAACAAACAATGCTGGTTGGTACAAGAGTATATGGAACTCCTAGGCCACACTGACTTATGGCTCCATCTCCAAAGATTTCCATATTTAGAACAATTGGTATTGGTGCCTTCTAAGCTTTGGTGTTCTAAGCTAGTGCCTACTTGGCCAACCCTGAGACAAGTACAGCCCATAAACAGCTCATCAGTTATTGTGCACATAAACAAAGGTTTGTACATGTATCCCTAGTCAGTATTTTTAGCTCAAATTCTTCTCTCACAAAGGATAGTCAAAGATCATTTCTTCATTTGAAGAAAAGTGATACTTTGATACATCAAAGGAATCTCTAATTGATGTTTTGACATATCAATGAAAAACATCTCATTGGCAATGTCACAATTTGGTACTCTGGTACCAATTCAAAATTCTGAATCCTTTCCTCCTTCTCCCCAAATGTTGTCTAAAACTCAACGAGAATACTGTTGTTCGGTGCCAATAGTTTTCCAATAATTTTATGATTTCTTTCCCTTCTGCATTCCCACTGCACCTTCAGAGTAACATTTAACTTTTAGACTCTAAAAAGAAATATAGAGATGAAATAAATTAGAAGATTCTCACCTGATGTAAACAGGAAGTACAAAAGAGGCACTACGATGACTGCAGGGATGACTATGAGACCAATACCAGTTCTAACTGATGTTGTACATCCACCTGGAGAAGGTCAATTCTTTTAAAAAAATCAATCTTTAGCATCAAGCTATTATGTAAGAATACTATGGATATTAAAAATAACTGCATTGGAAATCACAATAAATAGACCATCAAGTTTAAGCCAAATGATATTTCTACTTTTTCCAAGTTGTCTTTTTTATTTTATTCCAATACAAATGGGCTGGAGGACCTGTGGATTTCCAGATATTGTAGAATCATCATCATTCCCCAGGATTAGCCATACTGGCTAGGAATAAAATTGCTATATCTGATGAAATAGATTGCCCTTTAGCTTTAAAATTTGCAACTAACAAAGCTACAGTTGGAAAGTAAGAGAGGGAACATATTTAAGTTGTAACTAGATATATACTTTCATCAATTCATATTTAATCCATATTTTTTTTGATGTGTGACTAATTATTAGTTCTTAGCTAGGAAGCAATAACAACATTGGAAGAGAACATGTAAAATAGCTTATTATGAGAATTTTATCCTTGGAAATAATTGTGATGATTGTATTCTATAATCAGCAGAAAATTATGAAGGCGACCTATTTAAGTGCCTCCTGAGGGGAAGAACAGCACAAGAGAAATATCATTTCCTGTTAAATGTTTACCCAATAGTAAGGGAAATTTATCCTACTAACATAGGATGAAAATATTAGTGCAAATATTTTTAAATGACAAGAATTAATACTGGATATGCTTCATCTATATGAACCATTCTATATTTTAATGAAGGATTTCTACTCTTTCTGGTCTCAATTTTGGCTGTTTATGACTGCAAATTAACTGAACAAATAACAATGCATTCAAGAGTCCTTTTATATTTGCAGTGATTTATTAAACAAGAAAAATAAAAATGCATGTTTTGTATAGTAAAGTTAAAAATCAGCAAGGATAATTAGAGGGAACCATGACCAATTATTTCATGACCTCAGAGATATCTGCTTTTATAATATTAGTAATAAATAAATATTTAATATGTAGCAAGAATAATATATACCAAGTGTATTCAAAAGATATGCTGAACATGTAAAACTAGGACAGCTACACTAATGGAAATAGGAATAGTAATTTAATCAGAGTTAGGAATAATTCACTTGGTGACATTTTGAATCTTTCATACATTAATTTGCCTGTTTTTGTATAAAAACTATTATCAGTCACATACTGGCTATTATCAAATTCAGTCTTGCTGTATGTAGCTTAAGGCCCAATTTAGCTTGATGGAGTATATTTATTTATTACAATTCTTACCTTGGGCATAAAGAATGGTACCAATCACAGCAAAAATTGATATTAATAGTCCTGTAACAGTAAAGCCAATTTTCTTTTCGAATGTCATGTCAAACTTTTGAGCTAAAAGAAAAATAATAGATGAAAACAACAATTAGAGACTAAACAAATACATGGCTTTCAAATTATGCTTTTGAACAGGAAAAACTGAATATGAATGTTGTATGTATGTAAGTATATAGAACTTTGTTTAGATTACATTCCCATATTATTCATTTGTTTAGGCCCACTGGTTTTACAATTTTACAAACTATAGAAAAAACATGAAAGCTCACACAAAAATGAACACACACTTCTATATTTTCTATTTATTTTCTTCTAAGGAAATTATTTTAATCTAGTACACATTATGCTTTGATTTAAAAATTAAGTCACTTTAGAAATGTAGCTAATCCAGAGGTGTGGGGGAGGAGGGGTCTTTCTTTTCTTGGAAATGCTCTAATAATAGCAGCTGGACAGCCATCTGATGGGGCTGCTGTGACCTGAATTTCTACACTGAGCAAGGGCTTTGGACTCAATGGCATGTAGTGTATGGCCTCTTCCAACTTTATTTTTCATCCGCTTTGCAAAATTCTGAAAAGCATGGATTTAAATTTAATCCAGGTCACATGTAGGGTTGGGAGGTGCAAATTGTGTATCTCTAGCCTTTAGAGAGGGAGGGAGGGAGGGAGGGAGGGAGAGAGAGAGAGAGAGAGAGAGAGAGAGAGAGAATATTCTATATGATCCCAATGTTGCTATCTTTTGGGAGAGTACTTACTCCCAAACTAAAGCTCTCACAGGTTCTTATATAACATTAATCACTGAGCAATTGCTATGTAACTATTTAATTGTTGTACATTTTATCTCTCTTTTTCCTGAGGTGGTTATCTTTTATACTATTCTTTCCACAGATCTTTTTTAATTCTTCGGCAGAAGTCTTGCCAAGTGGGCAAACCTTAGAAATTGATTAAAATCAATAAAATAAATACATTCAGTTTCCCCATTTATTATCTAAGGCATAACATTTCCAACTGAAATCATCATATAAACCAGGTAGCAGTCATGAAAAAACTTAAACAAAATACAATTAAAAGCCAACTATCTTAGAAAAATATGAGAATCATGGAAAATAGAAAGGTCTTGAACCAGCACTGAATAATGCCAATGTGGATGCTAATGAATCTTTCTGTAGTGGGAATTCCACCAATGAGGTGTCACCTCAAAAAAACAACAACCCCAGGTTCTATAGACTGTTAGAATTACATAAGATTCCAATACCACTGTACTTGTCATTAAATTGTACCCCTCTTGTCTAAATGCAGACATCCTCCATTCCTTTTTACATTCCCCTCCATCAGTGATGGACAGCTGTATCTAGGTAAGGCTTATCTACTAGGTTGGGCTTATCTACTAGGTAACACTTGCTTTAGTTCTTAGAATCCAGCAAGATGTAGTGTTTCAAAGCTTGAAAAAAAAGACATGAAGAGCCAGTCTCAATGTAGGCATCAAGCTGCTAAGTATGTTAAACTAAAAAAAAAAAACTAAACAAGTTTACAAACAATTTGTTGAGAAATTAATGCAAATCTGCAAGGAAATGTAATGATTTTGTTTATTATTTGTATGGAATGACAGCAATTGCAGTAAATATAATGAGCAGCGATGACTAATGATATAATGAAAAGATAAAAATATATAATGATTAATTTATAACCATTATGAATAATCATAATAAATCTATAGACTCATTCATGATCTGTGACTGATACAGCTGGAAAGGCTGTAACTCTTTAAGTAGTTTATAACTCTTGTACTTTAAGTAGTTTATAAGCCATTGTGCTATTCCATTAAAAGCAGGAGCTGAGATCTAGGCTGGGAGTAGAGGATCCCTTCTCCCACCTTCGTTCTAGTCCAAGCTGCAGATCCTGGGATATTATAGAAACAAGTTTATTGGTTTGACCTGGGATTTGGATCTTCCACCTAAAAGCCTTGGGAGAACTGGAATCACTACAATAAAGCTGCCAAAAATATAAAGGCATAGGTGCTTACAATTTTTAAACAGTATTTTGTTGTTGTTGCTCACTAGAGCTTTATTTTTGCTTCCTTTACTTGTCTAATTGCCTGATTTGCCTTGTTTAATTGCCTGATCTGTTTAACAGTTAAAGATTTCTCGGTCAAAATATAATATATAATAAAGTTCCTCTAGATGTATCCATGGTGGAGCTTGTTTTATCACTGGTGTTTACTTAATTTCCTGTAAACTGCTTATGGTAGATGAGTCACTTGCTCTTCGCAGGCAAGTCTGGATTTTTTTTATGTTGTCATGGTTATGGTTACAGGATCAAAGCCACAATACTTTGTACTTCCTTCAAATAAAGGCAGCTGGAATTACAAGATGCTAATATTGCAAAATTTACTTTCAACTAAATTTAGTTGGAACTGTTAATGTTAATACTTCAGACTAATTTACACTGGTTTGAATAAAACATTGTGTAAGGCAGACATACAGTAGCACAGGTTAATTTAAAATATTTACTTTCTAAAATAAACAAAGATTAAATAAAGATTTTAATTTGAAAGAAAGACATAGACAGATCAATATTGCCACTACATATCATTCCTGATTTTTTTTTGCAATGTACTTCAAATTATTTTTAAAAAAATCCTATATTTTACACTACCAAATATTGCTTACTAGAGATAACCTATCCAAACTTTAATAATTCCCTTGACTACCAGGATTTCCCCAATAGATATGCAAGTCTGCCTGTTACCAGCAAAAGCAAGGCTTTTTAAATGGACTATTCCAACTACTGGTTGGTAAGGTCATGCAGCTTCTAAACATAGGCATTTGGAAGTACCGAACCCTGTTACTAACCATTCTTATTTTTGCCAGAGACTCTTTTAACAAACTGGCGGATACATTTCTATTCTAAACACAACAGTTTTAGATATTGCATGAACCAGGAGACTCAGCATGATTTTTAATATGTAGGAGAAAATACACCTTATAAATCAATATTATCGCTGTAGCTGTTGCACAAGGCAGAAAAAACATAGTATGGTTTTTGATATATAGAAAGCACTAAAGAAGTTCTAAAGAACAACTTTTAACAAATGAAAAGCTACTAATAACAACCTATTTTTAGATGTTTTTCTTGCCTTTATAACTTCTTATAAATAACTCAAGGTGGCAAACTATCTAATACTCTTTCCTCTTCCTATTTTCTTCACATCAGCCCAGTGAGGTGAGATGGAGTGAATGACCGGCCCAGAATCATCTTTTATGTCTACGGCAGATTAGAACTCACTGCCTCCTGGTTACTAGCCTGGCATCTTAACCATGGGAACTGGTTTTTATTTAAAGAAATGTTTGAAAACATTCAGTTTTGTTTTGATTCTGTTTACATAATCGGTGTGCCATGAAGGCAGTCCAGTAGGTATTGAGTTAGCATCTTCAAGAAAGAGTACACCACAGATATAAGTCAAATATAAAGCAATTAAGATATTATACCGTTAACATCTTAATTAATAAACCTAACAATAAATAGTAAAATAATTTGCTACCACCTTGGATATGAAGATTTGTGACTCATGTTTTAAATTCCTTTAATGTCTACAAATACTACTTGACTGTATTAATGTGTAAAGATATTTTAAATGATTTTTTAAAAAGTATTATATAGTAGCTTTTTCAAGAGCTCCACTTATGAAACAAAAGCAAAACGTATCTTTTTATTTTAGATTTATGTTTTATAATATTCTTAACATACTAAATTTTGTATACTATTTTTGTGTTCCTGCTGCAGTACAATGTACCTAGTACAGTGCAAATAAAATAGTAAAATAGTAAAATAGCCAGCATGGGAAAGTTATTTATTAATTAATTTGTGTGCCATCCATCTTACCACAAAGTTTACAAATATTTCTAAATAAATTGGAGAAGAATATTACTTAATAAGTAAAATAAGAAACTTGTTATTTCTCATATATGCTACCAATTGGGTACAAATATGATTCAGTACAGAATGAGAAATATATTAAGATTGGCCATAAAATTTTCACTCAGAGAAATGATCCAACAGCTGGGATTGAAGATTAGCTTCATTTTTTTTTAATCACCAACCTGATTTAAATGATATCTTTCATTTAGATATTTGGAGTTAGTGTCAAACCATTCTACTTAATCCCTATTGATTCCATATGGATATGAATGATTACTATAATTTTTGCTATCAAATCAGATTTGACTCATAGTGGCTACATAGTGACTACGGGGTTTTTAGACAACATTTTTGGAAGTGCCATTACCATCTTTCTAAGGCTGAGAGAGAGGGTGACTGGCCAAAGTTAACCAGTTTCTAGTTTCTGTGCCTGTGACAGGACTAGAACTCTGGCTTCTCCACTCCTACGCCCCTTTAACTGCTAAACCAACCTAGCTCTCATGAATATGGTTATTCCATCTTTAATAAAAATTACCACAGGATTTAAAAATATAAATCTGTTTACAAAACAAGCAAGATTATATTAAGGGAGACATGCTTACTGAATGTTGATAAAATTATAACATAAAAATAAAAATAAAAATGTACCTAAGATAAAAATGAAAGAGATTCAAATTAAGTTCTCTTAAAGAAAGCATTATACATTAGACTGGCCCCCACTCTGACACTCTTTTGGAAGGCACTGAAGACATGGTTCTATCAGCAGGCCTAGGGAACCCAGAGCAGGATGAAGCCCATTAAATAGTTTGTATGAATGTGTGTTGTTGCCAGGGTGGGGGGGGTTATTAGTTTACTAATTTATTATTTTATTATTCTTTTTATTTCTTTCATATGGTTTTTATTTCCATGTAATTTGCCTTGAGTCGCCATGTGCAAGTAGGCGGCAATATAAATTTTCTTAAATAAATAAATAAATAAATCTTATCGGTAACTGAGAGGTCCTTCCCCGATATGATGTGGCGATGGAATGCTGTTAATTATACTTATTCTGTTCTAATAATTTTTTTGGTGAACCACCTAGATTTAGTATGTATAGACAGGCAGCTAAATAAATAAATAATCATTCAGCTTGTTTATACCATCAAATATATATCTTATGGTACAAAAAGACTGAAACACATTAATCTAATCTAATCTAAGAGAGCTCTCATATTCACCAAAACAATAGACAGAGCAGGAAAATCCTCAGATCATGAACCTTCATTTAGCTGTAAATGAACAGCTCTCCTTCAATCCCTACCAATTCAAAATAACTATGATGACTTTATGGTCATTATTTACTGGCTAAACTCTATTTCTTTCCCACAGAAAGATATTAATATGGTATTTACTTAAACTAGAGGAAAATATACAGTAAATAAAGCAAAATCCATGTTTGGATGATATCATTTTATAAGCATATCGTGAAAATATAAACTAAATGGCATAGTAACCTCGTGGAATAGATTTTTATCCAATATCAAAAAAAATTAAAAAATAAATGAATCGTCTCCTCACACTATGTTTGGAAGTTACCATATAGAGGAAAGGACTCAAAATGAAACAATTTCTCCAGTTCCCAATCTAAGGAAACAAGCCATATCATCAATGACATTAAAAGCCATTAAGATATGATGCTGAAGCAAGGGAATTACATTCCGTCCTTCCTTCTTGCCTACCTACCTGCCTGCCTACTGAAGTAGTACCTGATCAAAGTCCTACCAAACATCTTAGTTTCATGCATAAATCCTTAGAAATTTATATCATAGTAGACTTTGTAGCATCTAAGTAAGTTATATTAGCATCAGATAATAATAGTACATTGCTTTCAGAGAAACATTAGTTACTTATTAGATCTTCATGATCACACTCTTTTGTATGTTATTAGAAGCCCGAAAAATCAGGATTGTAAAAGAATAGATCCATCTGGATGCATCAAAACGGATGGATTGCAAATTTATAATAATATTGTATAAAATACTAACCTGTGCTTCGCTACGAAACTATGTGGTCGGGCTTAGTTTTTAGGGAGAAAAAAAGGGGGGAAATTCTGCCTCTGCCTATCAGCATCCATCGGTATTTGTCTGGCTAGCATCCTGTCAGTGTGTGAGAGAGTTGAGGGCTGTTTGGAACTGAGGCAGTATTTTCCGTGTGAGCAAGGAAACAGCAAGGAGCCTGGGCGAGGCTTAGCTCAACTGTTCTGTACTAAAGCTGGTTGCTGCTGTGAAACTAAAACTGAAACTGAAAATCCTCTCCTCTGCTTGTGTTTTGCATTTGGAACAGATTTCTTTTCAGGTGGGGAGGGGGAATAGAACTCCTGAGCATCAGAGCATGTTAATAATAATAATATACGAAATACTAATGCTCTGATGGTCATTTTGAAAAATCCTTTCTTAGTGAGCACCTAGAAGTCAAGAGGAACATACATGCCAAATTTCAAGTTTGTAGGCTTTACGGTTCTGGAAATTTTGCGATGATATGTGAATTATTTCACTTTTATATACATACATACATACATACATACATATATACATACATACATATTATAAAAATAACTAATTGTAAAATATAAAATTTGACCAGACTAAGGGTAAATATTGTCATATTAAAAATATGAAGCTTATTTTGAATTATATTCCAAAATATTCCATGTTTTATGGGGATTTTAAAAAGTCAGGAAAATAGATGCAATCCATATCTCTGGGTGGGATCTGGTCCAGAAGGTAGGAGCTGTGACAGAGAAGTCCCCATACTTCCTGGGTCCCACACAATAGTAACTTTTAGGAGCATCTGTGACGCAGTGGTTAGAGTGCAGTATTGCAAGCTACTTCTACAGCCAACTGCCTACAATTTGGCAGTTCAAATCCCACAGGGATTCAAGGTTGACTCAGCTTTCCATCTTTCCGAGGTGGGTAAAATGAGGACCCAAATTGTTGGGAGCAATATGCTGCCTCTGTAAACTGCTTAGAGAGGGCTGTAAAGCACTTTAAAGCGGTATATAAGTCTAAGTGCTATTGCTATTTAATAGAAGAGACTGGAGAGAAGGGATGGTAGGAGTAAGCATATTAGGCAGACAGAAACAATGGGAGACAATGGCAGTACCGAGATGGTCTACAGTTTTCTCAGGCATGGGGCATAGCAAAAAGAATTATATTAAGAAACTAACAAGACTCCTAGAGTGCACTAGGCTGTCTATAACAAATGATCAATTTAGTCTTTGAAGAACTCTACTGAGTTCTTCACTTCAGGTGGCAACCTGCTCACATAGTTCATACAGTTAGGCAATTCCTACTGAACGTAGCCTCAAGCACTTTTCATTGGTTCTGGTTCTGCCTTGTGCACAAAATAAGTCCACTCTCTTTTCAATATGACAACTTTTCAGTTCTTCAAACAGAAGTAGAACCATTCATCAGCATTATTTGGGCATGATCATTCAACCGATTGTAAGTCTTTTTAACGATAGGACCAACTTGTCCACATTTTATCATTTTATTAAGGAAAATTTCATTCAAGCCTGTTGAAGAACAAGTACTGAGGTCCAAGTACTGTCTACAGCAGTGGTCACCAACCAGTGGGCAAGGGACCACTGGTGGTAGGCGAGAAAATTTTGGTGGTCCGCAGAGACATGTCACCCCAAAGCAATTAATCCAGGCTGCACAGGAACACAAGGCTGCGCCGCCCACGTGGCCTGTGGGAACACAAGGCTTGCATTGCAAACAACATGAGGTAGTGAGGGGAGAGGGGGGGGGGAACTTGTCCCATGCGTCTCGCCTGGCCACTGGGCTGCTTCTTTCTGCTTCTTTCTTCTTCTGCTTTTGGCTGCACACAAGGAAAGCAGCAAAAGTCTTTCTTTCTCTTCCCCAAACTCCGCCAGAAATGAGTCTTTGGGACCCTGCAAGGCATCCTGCTTCAAGAGGCTGCGCCGGCAAAGACTCATTTCTGGAGAAGTTTGCTGCTTTCCTTGCATAAAGCCAAAAGTCTCTCTCTCTCTCTCCCTGAGAACAGAGCTGGAGATGGTATAAAGAATGATTGATTGGTAACAAAAAGGGGTGGGGAATTTTCCTGCAGACTTTTTTTGGGATTTTCCCAGGGTCTCTGGTCCGCAGGATTTAAAATTCTGAGTTTGGTGGTCCCTGAGGTTCAAAAGGTTGGCGACCCCTGCTCTACAGCATTCTCCTAATCTACTATGGTAATAATTCTATAAAGAAAATGGAGTTGCTCTGGCATTGCAGAAGACACATACTGGTTCCTTCTCACTGTAGCTAATCTATCAATATTCAGAAACATAATGATTTTATATTATTATTAATATAAAACTTAATTTATAGAAATAATGACATTAAAAGAAATTTATTAAATTTGTGTCATTTTATGGCCAAATGCTGAACACCTAGAGGCAAGTACAAACTGTTTTTCAGTGCAGACTGTTATAGAAGGTATTAATAAATACTCATAGATGTCACAAATGAAAGGTAGCAGATTTTAATTAATTGCAGTGTCACCTTTTATTCTGTTATTTCCGCAATCAAGAAAACATTGGTAAGCAATTACATAAACTGCTCAAAATGAAGATGCTTACACAAGTTTTTAATCATGTAAAGCACAAACTTCTTTTGCATTATTACACACACACACACACACACACACACACACACACACTAACAAACTTTATTGATATCAGTATTAATAAAGAAAAAGGAATTTAGTACTTACCTACAGTAATGAACTGGCACCAGTACAAAATAACAATCAATACTATGATGGAAATGATAGAGAACCGTTCCACTGGCTGAAACCAAGGTACTATAAACAAAACAAATACAGTACAACTTCAGGAATGCGTGCACATTTATAATATATTTCACATATTTCTGTGCTGACCTTTCAGACATTTCTTTATCATTACAGCAGAAAAAGTCAAATTATTTACAGGACAATTGTTCTAGGTTTCCAGATTAAAAGCATAGTAGGATTGCATATTTCTTGATATCTTAAATAGCTTATGTTAGCAGATTCTCCATCTAACTAAGAATGTCCTATATTTAGGGGGAAAGGTTTCTTCAAATCATCCATCCTCAAAAGTGCCACTCCTCTACTAAGTGTCTGCCTATCCACAACACATAATCTAATAAACACACTTAATCTAATAAACTTGTGTTTATTACATTCAATTTACAACTTTTAGTGATTACTCACATAATGTAAGTAAGAGCAGTTACTAAAAAAAGAAGCAATATTGAAGGACTGCAGCACTTAACAATACTATGGCATCTGCAAGTGGCCTTTGAAAAATATTCTCAAAATAGGTCATAACAAAATGAAGATGAGTATCTTACAAAGCAAAGTGGACCTTTGTCCTAGCTATTGCAGACAAAAGCAAAGCTTAAGAAAACAACTCGTCATTTCTATTGCCTTAGTTCAAACCATGGAAAAACTCAAGTATTTCAGTTTTGTTTCAAGTTATCATCCTAGCACTATCATCCTGAAGTTTCTGGAAATCTGTCCCTGATGTTCTTGCACATTTTTATTTCCTTCACCTTCCTGCACAGTTAGAGACTTCTCTTCTGAGAATTAGCGTTCTACATTCTATCAACTTCAACTTTTGCATCATAGAGGCTTTGTAATTTTCCACTTGTGACCTTAAGCTGTAACTGTAACTTTGTCATGGCATTAAAAAGCACTTTCACTAAATAGTTGGATGTAAATGTAAAAACACCAGCCATTGGAGAATTGGATATATTTTTGGCTGCAAACTGTAGTCTGCACAAAGGGCTGCCTTCTTAAATTCTTATGTAAAATCTAAAAATTATTGGGGTACCCAAAAGTGTTACTTTTTTCTATCTTCCATAGCCTTAGTAAGACTGCACTCTTTATTTCAAAGGCTGTTCCGAAGACTGTAGAGATAAAACTTACTATAAGCATGCTCTAATTTTTATGTATTTGTATATTAGTTTTATACAGGTGATATGGTCAAATGACTTAATCATTAAAAACTCCATTCCACTCTGCAATTTTACCCAGGAAGGAAAAAAGGGTAGATTCTTTGGACATCCTTTCCAAACATAGTGCTACATCCTTCCACAGAACATAGCTAAATCTACTGGGCTGCTTAAGGGCTGGCAAAGTAAGCCTTACCAATTCTCTGCTGGCACAGGGATCAGGGGATACCAGGCACTTCCTGCAGGAACCAAATAGGGTTTCTGCATTTCCTCAATTGCAGATTTTGACCTAGTTAATGTGGTAGTATAAGCTATTCATACCACAAACTATGATTGGGTTTTTGAATTTTTGAATTAAAGAAGTAATATGTTAGTCAACCAATTCTGCTATGACAATATTGAGTGCATTATGATCCCATTCTTAATTTCTTTTTAGCAGCAGCTGTGAAATCTCAAGAAGAAAGGCTGATGCAGTTGCCAGGCTGACTGAAGTGGGAGGACTAATTCAGGAAAACTGCCAGAAAGAGTGAACAAGCCTTTTATGCAGCTTCATTTTCCAGATATTCTTCTTACCGCTTTCTGATGAATAATTTAGGCAGGCTGTAAGGGGGAAAAAAACAAAACAGGGACAACTCTAATTTCTATGTTTGCATATATTATGCCATGGTTAACATAAGGTACAATTCATAAGCCCACTGAGCTTCCCATCGCACTTTGTTGCTAGAAAAACATGGCCTGTCTTAGGCTCAGATAAATGTATAATCTTCAACTTATTGAACTATAGCTTGCTTTAACTTCAAATCTACCATTTTCTTTTGAAAAAAGGAAAATGATATCTGAAAATGGCTACTGTTACATTAATTGAAGCTACCTCCATTTAAATCCTTTTAGAAAGTCACTTTTTCATTTTACTTGTTTGTTGATCAAAACCTACCAGCAAATTAATCTGTGCATCATCCTGGATCAATGTATAAATTCAGGCCCAATTTTCTGCAACATTCTAAAATCATCTCAAATACTTACAGAATTGATGTTACCACAGTTTTCTTACCATCTGATTCTTTTTCTATAGTATCACATATTCCATGAAAAAGCAAGACTCTTAAATAAACTACAACAATAGATGAAAGATATGATATATTTAAGAGCAAGGAAAGTGGAAGGAGGGACCAGCTTCTGTCTATTTATTATGATATAGGAAGAAAATACCGCATAGAACCTAATGATAATTCAGAAAATTCCACATGATATTACTTCTAACTGTTTGGGGAGGGGTGTAGTTTTTTGTATTGAAGTTTTGTCCTTGAAAGCTTCCTGGAGTCACGAAGAGCAAGTTGGATGGCCATAGTTTTTTTTCCTTTTAACAACCCTAAATCCCTTGCATTGGGGTGGAGTTGGGGAAACTGAATGGAACGTTTAAATGGCTAAAAAGCCCTTCCTGATGTCTACGTGGAGCTCACAGCAGATATATTCACATTACACCCAGAGAGAAATATCTGCAGTATCTGGAATCAAACTCACAGCCTACTGATAGTGAGGTAAGAGCTTCACCTCTATGGGGTGGCCATATAAATGTTCTTAAATAAAATAAAATGCCAGCAAATAACTCTAGCATGCAAATAAGCAGGATGGAATGTGGATACCTCCAGACAAGACTTCAACTGAACTGTCAATGTATTTTCCTACTACAATATCACAAAGGTTTTTTTTGTTTGTTTGTATGTTTGAACTGAAAGTGTACTGTTTTTCAGGGACACAACTGACCAGAAAAAAACAGGACAAAGGAGGCTTTTATGCTTTTTTACTGTATAGGAGTTCTCACTTAACAGCTGCTTCAAACAATGACCCTTCATAATTATGATGGCGATGAAGAAATAACTTCACCACCAATGCCTATGAGCTTCGCAGGTCTGTAGAGGAAAGATGAGTAAGATCATAAGCACAGTTGAAGTCACATGATATCTCACTTAGTGACTGCACTGCTTAATTAACAAGTTGCCAGTCCCAACTGTGGTAGCTAAACAAAGAGTACCTGCATACAACTGAATTATTTACAGCAGGCATTTACAAAAGACATATACTATACAATATTGATGTTCACCTGGTGTCAGTTTCCTTCTACTCTACCTCGTAGAGTTTTAACCTGGAACCTCCTAATCAAGGCACAAAGTTATAGCACTAGATTGAGTTTGAGTAAACATTCCCCCTCCCAATTTTTCAGGGAACTTCATTAGATTTTCACAGGTCCCTAGGATTCCACAAAACAGAGTTTGAAAATCCCCAGCGCAGGGGAAGGAGTTGATTTTTGTATAAAACTGTAAGAAACAAGTTCATATGAAGCCTAATATTCGATTCTAGATCTGTTAGGAAGTTAGTTTTAGCTAAATTGTATCTTTAACTTTCCATGTTTTCTTCCCTTTTTAAAAAATTCTATTCTGATTTTTTTAAAGACAACTTTAAGTGGTGTTTTGAACTTATTGTATCCCAATCAGGACCAAATACATGCAAAACAGAAAATATTTGGTCCTTCCAATATTCAAGTGTTGGGATAAGGATGACAAGAAATTTGCTAATTGGAACCATGCCAAGGTGAAAACTCTGACAATATACCGTCCAGTGTGTCCCCCCCCCCCCCCCCCCCCAGTTGGTGTACATATGCCTATCTGATAGCTTTACTCTTTTAATCATGGCATAGCACTATGCTTTTTTAAAGGAGGACAACTGTTTAGTATGTAGAGGACAACTGCTGGAGTTACTGTTTTCTATGACACATCTTTTCATCATTCAGAAGCACAGATGGCTGGCCACGCTTCTCAGTGTGAAAGAAGCTCAATGGGAGATACTCCTTCATGGTGGTGTTTAAATCAAGTGTGGGAAGACAGAGAGACTGTACACCTTGGTCAATGGAGCAAGACATTTTCAACTCACCCTACCATCTCCTACATGTTAAATAAAAATACAACACATTAAACTGTTAACACTCAATATTTCACTGAAATGTTTTTATTTATTTAATCCTAAAATACCCATGCTGCTCCATTGCAGAGCAGCCATTTCTGCTTCAGAAACTATTTAACTTGTTTACACCAGAACTGATTTTTTTAAAAGGTTTTTTTCCCTGCAGAATACCAGGTTTTGTATTACTAAAACAAAAACTAATGCAAACAATCAGAAGACTCAATAAAGGACCTAATCTCTTGCTTCTCTCAAGATTAGCAAGTATCAGATCTAGACAGGTGGTCTCTGAGTTGAATGAATCAGGAAAACCAGAGGAATTAAAAAAAAAGAAACCCTATCCACATGAAAAAGTTATTTCTGGGATAATACTATGTTACACCACTATATGATTGCAGAAAAGCAGTTTAAGAACAGTCATCTGAGTTTGCTTTCTTGCTTTCCTTTCCCTTTTAAGCCTTTTCCCTCTTTTCTCCCTCATCTTTACATTGCAAGCCTTCAGGCAGAGAATGTCTTCTTTTCATTTTCTTTTTACTTGACTTTATGTAAGCTCTCCTGGAGCCTCTTGAGCTAAAGAAGATATAAATACTTTAAACCAGTGGTAAATGCAATCTGTGCTCTTAATCTAATTTCACATTTCTGGCCTATTGCACAGAATGCGGAGAATGTATTAGGAAAAGAGAAAGAGGGACAAAAAGCAAGATGGGAATGGTGTGTTGAGCTAAGCTTCTTAAAGTCTGTTCAGTAAACAACTATCAGTAAAATATATCTATACTGATATAATATATATACTGATATATTTTACTGATCGGTATATGGTTTATTTGTAAGCCCAGGAGGGGACTGTGAATATTGTTGTTCTTTAAACTACCAATTTTATTTTTGCGATATTACATCTCACTTGAAAGTCTTTGCAACAATAGGGTGAATTCCAGATGCCCGCCATTTTAACATTTCATGTCTTGCTTGTCTGAACCACAGACTATATACAAAGCAAGAAAGGACTTTGGGAAGAGTTAGCTTTGAAATCCCTAGATGTTTCTAAATATCTGAGGCATCCTGTGGCCAACCTCCTTCTTACCTTTTCAAATGCTGGAAGAAGAGGCCAAAGACTGAAGCAGAGACACAGTAACATGGATGAAGTTTTATAAATGGAAACTTATTTGCATTGGGCCCAGAGAGAGCACAGCTGATCTGCTCCATCAGCCCATTCACTAGCGGGAAGGCCATAAAACAAAGGTATTCTGACAACTGCCAAAGGAGAGGGCATGATGAGAGATTCCATTAGTTGGCAATAAGAGCCCCATGTTTAATAGGGGTGCCAGCTGAAGCTAAGAATCTGCACTGTTTCCATAATTGTTCAAAATCATGTACAACCTCAATCTCAGATCTAGCATCAGTATATATATTGACCCTGCAACCTTTAGCAATTTCACAAGCCCTTTCAAAAGCAAAAATGTCTGCAAATTATGCAGAACAGCCAGGCTGGCTACATCAAAGTTCTCCCCATGCTTTAAAAATTACTGGAAAGTGATTAGCTGCACCCTTTAACTCAGGCAATAAAAAAACAATAGATCCTCAGCAAAAACTCACCTTACTGAGATAAAAGCCTTTTAGAAACTTGCCTTTTCTTGTTTCATTCCCCCAGTCTTTTTTCCTTTCCTGATAAATCAAACTGTTGGGTAAACATTCAAAGAGTGTGTGTGTGTGTGTTTTATATACTGTCTGCCTTGAGTGGTAAAAGAGAATGGGTGAAAAGGAGCAGGAAGAAGGAAAGAAAAGAGTGGTTGTATAAAAGAAGCTGAATTGATTTTGGAGGTTTGATTTAACCAACTCTTCTTTGTCAATGTATTGTAGTTTTAAATTAGTAAGTTTGCCTGTTGTTTTTCAATCAGCAATGGCCTTTTTGCTTGCTAGACTATAGATTTTTTTTAGATAAATAAGTTTTTGAACCATTTTTCTCCTTTGTGCACCTTTCATTTAATAAATTAAGAATCAATATAAGCGCCTTGCAGGTATGTATTGTATAGATTCATGTTTCAATGTTTCTATCACTTGGTTGACTATTCTATTTCAGTTGTTTACACTGTATCATAAAACAAAGTTTAATGATTAATAAAGTTGATGTGACAAGAAACTTTAAACTTTAGCCTTGATAACTGGAAATTTGCATATGCTCAGCTATTATAATGGGGATTTTCTAATTGTTTTCCCCAAAAAACCCATTAAACCTTTTAAACCTGCGAAACCTTCTAAGAGGGATTTACTGAATACAATTGAATTTAATTTTGTTTTATTCTTGTGGGAAATTTATTTATTTAATTTTTTAAATTCATGCTCTCACTAAGAAAAAGCAATGGATTCTCCTAGTGGCCATAGGGAGATTTCTTTCTGACCCCACATTTATGGAGATCCTCTCTTTTTCATATGGTACTCATGAGATTCCAACAAAGAGCAAGAGAATACAAGAGACTTAATTTCAGGAAACATTTTTCAATGTGCTCTCTCTCCCTTTAAGGTGGTTTATGCTTCTGGCACAGAGAAATCTTAATATTTACTGTTTTACCTTGTAATATATTCCTTCCTTCACCAGCCTAGATGGGTAGAAAAGAGGAATACAATTTCAGGTTTGTATTTATTCATGG